GCACCTACTCAGAGCCAGGTGCTCCTCCGTGATCGCTGATTATCACGGCAAACCAGCAACACAGGTGTTCCCCACCCCACTTACAAAGAGGGAGCTAAGGCTCTGAGAAGTGGCATTCACTCAGGGTCACATAGCCAGAAATAGGATGCGGGGGAGGGGCAGAACTGTCCCTAGATCCAGGCAAGGCGGTAAGAGAAGCATCATTTTTATTTAAACACTGCATTCTTCTGGCAGCAAATGTGTGGGGCTTTGCCCCACGCTGGCCCATTCTCCAGCACTAAGGACACCGGCCTTGTGTCCTACAACTCAATTCTGACACTATCTACCTGGAGCGAGCACAGACTCCACAGCTTAAGGGCTCAGTCCCACAAGACTGTCCCCACTTCAGACGCCTGTCACGAGTCCCAAGTTGTCACCCATGCTCCTGACCAACCAGCTATAAATCTGGAGTTCATAAGTCCCCCTCTTTACATTTGATAATTTGCTGTAATAGCTCAGAGACACTTACCTGCATTTACCAGTTCATTACGAAGAACACGATAAAGGATACAGTTTGAAGAGGATGAAGAGGTGGTTCGGGCCAAGTCTGGAAAGGTCCAAAGTGCGGGAGACTCTGTGCCCATGGAGTCAGGGTGCACCCCACTCCTGGTGGGCGCATTCACCAACCTGAAACTCCTCCCAACGCCGTCGCTCCCGGACCTCACGGCAGCGTCCCCACGTAGACGTGGCTGCCCGTTCGGGTAGCCCCGGAGGGTAGGGGTTGCGGCTAAAAGTTCCAAACCTGTCATCATAGCTGTGTCTTTCTGGGGACCGGCCCCTATGCGGGAGCCCACCAAGAGTCTCTTTACGAGAACAAAAGGCACTCCTATCACCCAGAAAATTCCAAAGGACTTAGGAGCTCAGTGTCAGGCACTTCTCTATCAGCCCCATTCCTCAGAGGTTACAAGAGTTTTAAGGGCTCTGTGTCAGGAACCCAGAGCAGAGGCTATATATATATATTATTTTCTTATGATGCCACAGGGGGTCTGTCCCGGGCCCTGTGCTTTAGAGAGCCCCCCCGCTCTGCCCTCCAAATCTTCTCACCTGGTCAGGGCCAAGAGGGCCTCCCACCCCCCACCACGCTCCAGATAACCGGAGTTCCCCGCCCAAGCGCCCCAACCCCCTCTGGGTCTGTGTGGGCCTTCCGCCTGGCTCCTTCTTCTGGAACGTGAACCGTGCTATGACTTGGCTCAGCCCCAGGCCCGAGGGGGAGGCCAGAGGCCCATTATCTGCAGAGGCTGTGGACGGAGCTTGGACAGATGGGCGTGAGAGCCACACGCATGCGCAAAAGCCCTTACACAGGTCTGGACGGAGCCCGGGTGGGGCGGGAGGGGCGAGGGGCAGACGGGGCTCACCAGGCCGACATATGCCAGTGCCCAGCACCAAAAGCTGAGGGTTCCAAACACGAACTTTATACGGGACCGTTACAGAGGTCTAGTTACCAAGTAGGAGGGGAGAACGTGGTTTAGTGAGCAGCTGTAGCCTAATGTGTCACCTCTAAATCTGCAGACATGTGCAGCGTAGATCTCGATGTGTGCCTGTGTCCCCAGCCCAGCACATGTCCGGGTCAGCCCGCTGGGAGCAGCGCTATCTCCTGTTGAAATCTCATCCTCTCTTGCACCTGGTGTTTACCCTGCCCTTGGGATGTTTAGAGAGGAGGGCCAAACCTGGCTGCCCTAGGCATTGGCCAAGGTTTTCTTGGGACTCTGGCGAAAGCTGGCCGCAGTGATAACCCATAAGCTGAGCTGCGGGTACCAAAGGGACATTTCAGTGGGTTTTTGCTTCTTAACATGTCAGGGTGTGGCCAGCATTCAGTTTGTGGATTCGAGCCCTCAACAGTCTGGGACGCGGGTCCAGCTGGGTCTCAGGGGACCCTCCTCTCTGTCCTGCAGCCCTTCCCTGGTCACACTCCCTCTTCCTCCCCTCAATTCTCCACCAGACCTGGTCCCTACCGCCTCCTGCTGAGCCCCCTCCTGCAGGCGCTCCCCTTCCCTTTCCTGGGGTCCTCCTTACCCGAACAAGCTCTGCTCCAGCTCAGAACTTGGCGACCACTGGGCTTCCCTTCCTGAGAACTCAGCATTGGCCCAGAGGGTTCCAGAACCACTCTGAGACCAGTAGGGTTCCTCCCTCATGGGAGGGTGTCAGGCAGTGTGTATTGGGCTGGAGGTGATGGACAGATGCTTTTGTTTACTAAATCTACCTGAAGGCCACTAGTCGGAACCGCTTTCACAGTTGGCAGTGGTTTTCCTCGCGTGTGTGTGAATGTGTGAGTGTGTCTGCGTGCGGAAGTTCATGTGTACATCACACACCCTTGGCTGGGACTCCCAGCCAGCACGAGGGGAGATGAATTTCAGACGGGGCATTTCACCTACCTGTGGGCAGTGCCACCCAGAGTTTCAGAGTTAAGAAAACTGGCCAATGTGAGACGCCCGGTTAGTTGGCTGCTGTTGCTTTTTCCTTCCTTGTGGAAAACGACGTGGAGTCGCCAGTGGCAAACTGGTGCCAAGACCTGAACTGTGACTCCTGGCTTTTTCCTTCCCCATAGTCCCTGGGGCCACTGACTTCCGTCTCCAGGCCTATTAAACAGTTTAGTGTGTCTATTTCCCCTAGTTTCTGGCTCCAGGCCCCCAAGGGGAGTGACAGGTGGCCATGAGGCAAAGTGAAGCTCAGACAACTCCAGCTTTGAAACCAGGCTGCATCCTTACTAGTTTGGACAAGCAACTCGGCCTTTTTAAGTCTCAGTTTCCTCGTCTATTAAATGGATTCGTCATAATTATCTCTCGAGGATAGTTTTAAATGAACAGTTATGTGAAACCTTAGTGTGTGGCTTGGTATGTGACAGAAGCTCAGTAAATGGTCTCGTTACTTTCACCGCCACCGCCTCTCTCCGTCAGCATCGCCAGCATCGCATTATTGTCGACAGTGTGGACAGACGTGGGTTCACGGGCCAGACCCGCCTTCTCTGTGTGGAGGGACCAGGGTGCAGATCGAAAGCCAGAAATGTGGCGAGGAAGAGATAGATAGGTAGGCGTGTGGCTGTTTCAAAGAAGTCCAGCCTGGAGCAGGGGCCGGAGCGTTAGACCAGCCTGTGACCAACAGACTAGGTGGCTCAGGTGGCCCCAGACCCCCAGTTTCAGAACACCTCCTCCGCCGAGACTGTCCTTAATCTAGGCTGGAATGTTCTGGAATCTGTAGAATATATTGAGAATGGTTCTGAAGCTCTGGAGCCAGGCAGACCTGGGTCCAAATCCCAGACCCATCACTTACCAATTGGGTGAGCTTGGTGAAGCCACTTAATTTTTCCAAGTCTCAGTTTTCTTCTCTGAAAAATGGGTATAGCAGTTGCTGCCTCAGATGGTCTCTGGGAAGAGTAAATGGAGTCACAGATGCCCAATGCCCAGTGCCTTGCTTGACACCGGGAGGTGCTCACGTCCCAGGAGCTTCTTCCCTACTGTTCACCCTGTTGGTCCATCTCCTGCTACAGAAGGCGCTGGGTCTAAGAGCACTGGAGCCAGCCTTTCATACTTTGTCCCTAACAGCCCTGGGCTTCCTGGGAAGAAAGTGGAGGACTGATCGTCTGAGGGGCTGGGTGAGTTTGACCCTGGGTGTCAGGTGACAGCCACAGTTCTCTGCTAGCTTGGAGCCTGAGTTTTCCCATCTGGAAAATGGAGGTAGTAATAATCTTTGAGTTTTAGGGTTGTTGAGAAGACTGAATGAGGCATTGTGTGGAAATTGCCAGAAACTCCGTAGGGGATATTATATTTCTGATGTTATTATCATTAAATATTTTCCAATTTCTGCGCTTTCCTGGTGTGGGTGGGACAGAGAGTGTTTGGTTTCCAAGGTTACAGCATCTCAGCCAAAGGCCAGTGGCCAGAGGAGTGTGCCTCTGGCCTGGCCACCACCAGCCATGTCGGGAAAAGGGGCTGGCGTTTCACTTCGGTCGAGCTTTGCCACCTGGGCTGACGGGCATGTGTCCCAGTGAGTCACCTCACAGAGTCAGAGCCCGCTAAGCTCACCCCAGACTTCCAGGCACACGGAGAATTGTTTCTAGAACTCAGCTGTGTCTAATGCCCCCAGGAATTCTCCCAGGGATCAAGAGCTGCCCATTGCCAAGGGACCCCTCTACTTCCTGCAATGCTCCAGGGCGGCACCCTCCCTGGCCAGAGACGTGTGCCTGTGACCTCTTTGCTCCAGTGTCTATTTACCTTCAGCTGCCTGATTTCGAATACTGTCTGATTTCGAATCCTGCAGTGCAAACAGGACCTAGTCAACTTCCTTCTCTGCCCTCAATTTCCCAGGGCGGGGGGATGGAATGACCATCTGGTTATGTCTGCGAGCTATTGTGAGGCTCAGAAGAGTCCAGTGAGATGAAGTTTGGGAAAGCCCTGCGTGACCTTAAAATGACATAGGTATGAGCAAAATGGGAAACTCGATCCCATGACACTTTGGGCACTGTCTCTCCCTCTCTGGTCTCAATTTTCTTACCTATTAAAGGAAAGGTTTGGGGCAATTGGCTTTCTCCAAAGCGATGATTCATGAAAGAAATAAATTTGGTACAGACCGCACCTGCGAACCTCGCCGTGGCACTTCGCAGTGTGTGCTGGCGTGTTGAAGGCCAGGTGAATCGTGCAAGAACATGCCTGTTTCGCTTGGATTAACCTAGATTTTACTAAATTGATTACAGAACCTCAAAATTATAATTATTACTAACACTACAACTATTATTACTGTTAAGATGATTTTTACTAATTGTCCCGTGTAACTCTAGGTACCTACTGCACAGTAGCCCTTGGGAAGTGAGCAGATCAACGAGGACCCCCGAGGCTCTGGCCAACATTGACCCAGGCGCCCCATGGGCCAGGTCTGGGCTGCACGGGGTCTAGGGGCTCACGCCCTGCCTCTCTGTCTTCCAGGTCCAGGT